CTGAATCAAACTTAAAACGTTTATTTGTGTCCGACACATTGTATTGACTGTAGTTTAATGCGTGTTCTTACGAGTCCGGGCTCACAAAGATGTTACAATTACTGGGAATGCGTTCTTATGATAAGCATTAAATAATACCAAAATGGGGCATTTTCAATGCCTCACTGCTCCTTAGTGAGCATGGGCACCCACCTTTTTTATTTCAAAATTTAAGTTATCATATGACAAATATTCAGTGGACAAAGCTTGAACAAAAATATATTGTAACTTTTATTTCAGAGGAATTACCTTAAAGGATTTTTTCCTTAACAAAAGCTCATTTGGTAGAGCACTGCATACACTGGTATCGCAGAGGTCATGGGTTCGAATCTCGTTTAGGCCTGAATTTTTTTCAGGCTTTAATTTCACAACTGCTTAAGTTGTGTGCATAACTACGATGATCAGTCACGTCTTTAAAAATCTGTAAGTGGGTTACATGTACACGTTAAAATGAAAACAAACATCCATACAGGAGGTAATGCTGAAAACTACTCATACTGGAACGTTGTTTGTTGTTTTAAACCCTTTCACCCCATTGGGGGCATAGGTTCTTAGGGACATTGTTGGGGGCAAAATGTTGCGCGCGTTTGGTCACCTGTTGCGACATGTTGGATTTTGTTGCCTTAAGTTTGACTATTTTCAAACTTGAGCCAACAGCATTCAACACGTCGCAATAGGATGGCCGAACGCGCGCAACATTCTGCCTCCAGCAATGTTGCGATATGTTATGTGAAACGTTGCGATCGTTTGGCCGAGGTTTACCGAGCCTCTCCCAAATTTCGCCAACATAATGAACATATCAGGCCTGAGAAATGTTCGATTTCTGTTTTGAATCAGCCAAGTAATTTCGGGACAGTGGTGAAGTTTCCTTAACCCCCAATTTCGACAGGTAATTGGTTTTGAATTGACTTAGCAGCCTAGGGAGGAATTTTGAGAGCTCATATCAAACTACAGCCTTGCAACTAAACGAGTTAGCAGTAAACTGAAACTCTCATATGAATTCCCTTAGAGGCTTAGTCACTGGACACCTTGAGAATAGACAAAGAAAATAAAAGGCTGGATTTAAATAGGCCTTGAGGTACTGTTATTCTTTTTATTCCAAGCCTTCGCCGATCTACGGCATCGTCAGGGAGTGCAAAGAAAATATTCCCTGACGATGCCGAAGATCGACGAAAGTTTGGAATTAAACGAATAACAGTAGCTCCAGGCCGCAGTTGAATCGTTTATTTAAAT